TAATTCTTAATTCAGTGCAATTACATTTCTTGAGCAGTGCAAAAAGCTGTAATATCAGTGCAATTACAAACAAATTTGCGCTTTTGATTGGCTAAGAAACAAAAGAAATGTTTTCAGCCAATAAGGATCAAGCTTTCTTTGTAACTGAAAACGTTTCTCAAAAATCCAAGATGGCGGACACTTCCACCGATAACAGAGAAAAAAGTACACAAAAACTATCAACAGATGCTTAAAAGAAATAACAAAAGCTTTCTCACTGAAGAATTGGACTAGGATTTTGYATTTGTGAAGTTTYMAGCTKGCTAGTTGCCATTTCAAGACGATTTTGCATCGAAAATAGTCTCGCCTTCCTCACCCGTCAAGCTCGATGAAACTGTACAGTTTCAACGTGAAATCAGCTCAAATACTGTCTTTTTTCCACATTAGCCAGCAAAAGGTATTTTTCTATTTAATTGACAATGTTTTTATTGTTCAAATTCAAATAAATTGCTTTATATATGTTAAAGTGGAGTAAATCCTCATATTTTTATCAGTAGAAATGACAAAAGTAGCAAGTTTTGATTGAACTTTGTTTTGCTTCAATTTTTTGATTTCTTTTGTACGAAAGAAAATTTTATTTAGGTTATAAACTAATGTTTTTTTCCTAGCTTTGATAGTAAGACAAGTGTAAAAATTATTTTTCAAGAAGAAAATAAAAAGACTTAGTATGCATTGATGATATTTTGCTGACATCTTGTTTTTATCGTTGGCTCCTTGTCTAGCCTTGTCGGTTTTGGCTTCAATGTTTTCATGTATATTATTAATAGGTAATAAGATGGCTTCTCGTTCAATTTGGATTAATTTGCACTCGTTTGTTTTTCAAAGAACCAAATTGCGTTCGGACTACGGCCTCACGCAATTATGGCCTCTTTGAAAAACAAACTCGTGCAAATTAATTCCAAATTGAACTCGAAACCATCTTATTACCTATACTATTAAATACAAAATCATATCCAAAAATTGTGATTCAACTTACGTGAAAACTCCTTTTCCCCAGCCCGCCATGGCTGTAAAGATTCTAGGTCCCAGGTCCCTAGCTGGATTAATAGCATATCCACWGTTGAAGCCAAACGTTGCACCAATCACAAAGACAACAAGTCCGATAAGGACTGGTGCAGAGCCTTTATCTGGGGCATTGTTGTTCTTATCGACTATAGCAAACACACAGCTGACCAATAAAGCAGTGCCTACGAGCTTTGTGATAAAAACAAAACACACATAATTTTTTTTTCTGGTAAACTCTGTTGTTTTGTTCGCTACGTTAACAGTGAATGAAAAGTTCATATATCAGAAAATGAAGCTTAGTGAGTATGTTCTTGTCTAGATAAAAGATTTATCGGATGTTAAACGTAATTTCATTCGCCGTCTTCTTAGGCTCACCAATACACGAGCATGCGTATTTGTTGCCYGATGATCAGACAGGACTGGGTCCTGTGACCTAGTGCTTTCTCATTAAGTTGAAGTTAGAAGTCAAGTCTACATGCACATCTATTAATTACAAGAACCATTTTAAGCGACGTCATTTTCATTAAGTTTAAACCTTTAAAACTCGAAGAGACAACACTGAAATGCAGAAATATTTCACCATTCAGAGAATCAGAAATTATTGTGTAAGCCGTCGTAGGCACTTTAAAGACAAAAAAATGACCACTAAAGCTTTCTTTCGGGTTCTTTTTCAGGAATTAAAATTCCTTAAAGAAAAGTTATTTTTCTTGGAAAACGTTTCTGTAACTAGATGTAAATATAGGTGTGTTCTCATGCCGATGCATGAGTAAAAATAAGCAAGGCCTACCTGGTCTGCAAAACCATTAGCGGTGGACAGGAATGGCTGAGTGTAAGTTGCCCATATTCCTGCTGTACCAYTGGGGCCCAGGATCTGGCGAACACCTCCATCAAAGTTATTTAAAGCATCTTTKGTAATAACAAAAACAGAAACGAAGAAATGAACGAGGAGATTGACCATAGATAAACGACGAATTAGAAGGAATAACTTTTGCCAACAACCATTGCACACAGCCAGCGTAAGTCATCCTTACAACATGGCTACACTTGTCGGAATTTATAACAATTGTTTGATAACCCTTCAACAGTTGTGTAGCCAAGGATGACCTTTGCGTAGGTCGCATGCGATGGTTATAGGTAAACGTTGTGTCGTCTAATTCAGCTTTTATAAATAAGAAACGATCATAATTATAGTCTAACACTTTAAAAATACTTTCAATTATTACCATACCATAATAAACACCATAGACTACAGCTGATGCTACGATGGCTCCAAGTAATTGTGCGATGGAATATAGTGGTACTTTCTTCCAGGAAATTCTCCCYACAACAGCGTTAGCCAAAGTCACCGCTGGATTCATGTGCGCCCCTATAAAAAGRAAAGTCTGTAAATGAAAATTAYTCTAATTCCCTTTGACAAAGCAACAATCCTGGACAAAATGGTTGAGAAAATTGACACGCGCGTCCATTTCTCAGGCATATATCTCGATATCTTGTGAAATATTGAAGAAAACTGAACGCCCCTCCCCCCAATTCAATGTTGGGCTATGGATTTATGTTCGTAGAGGTTCCTGACACAACATTGGATGAGGGGGGGGGAAGACAAAATATTATCATTGCAGGACGAGCATAGAATAATTGTGTCTTGTCATTAGAAAATTCTCAACTCTTTTTGTCTAGGATTGAAAGTATGGTGACATCATGATCACGACTACATCAAAAAGAGGTTTGGGACAGGCGTTAGCGCCGGACTCAAGCCCGTCTGAAACTATCAGTCCTAGAACAAACCTGATATGCCGCCAGCCCAGTAACAGCCCATCATGACACCAACGCCCCAACCAAAGTTGATGGAAAAGAAAGTCCCATTTTGCTGTCTRCTGAGAACTGCTTGCGCTACAGAACCAATGCCAAACATCTTATAATAAAAAAAACAGAACCATAAACCATGTTAACCATTTGAACTGACCTGTTAAAACAATCGAATACATTTTCGCCTGGTYTCAAACCGAGTGGGGACTGGGTAAAATCAACTAATTAGATAATGATGAGATAAGACTTACTGAGAGAAAGAAAGGTACTATAATAAAATTTGGTGTGAATCAGTTCAAAAGTTAACGAATTACAGTTTTTTAAATACTCTAAAATTTCCAAAGAAATGKATGGAATCTAGTGAATGTGTCCGGAAAAAATGGTCAAAATGTGGACACGTTACAAGATTATGGTGCATTTGAATAGCTTAAAACATGTCCAGCAATACTCGGAAGAAATACGACAAATAATAAGCGAAGAAGCAAAGTTAAAGCAGGTGTTTGCTTTTGATAAACAGATTTTTTTTTAAAATTCTCTAAATGTCATGCAGATCATGTAACACTAGACTGCTCTAGGCTGGTTCATATTTACCCCAAAGAAAATAGATTCTACAGCATATTATATTTCGATTAATCTTTCTGGCACTTATTCAGGACCGTAGGCTGCCTTACAAATGGGGGGTTCGTTTTTTTATAATGCGGACCTAAATTAAATGTTTAACTAAATTAGTTCAATGCACAGGTCATAGTGTCGTGTAGTGTGTAAGAACTGGCTGCTAGAGTTCATGACAAAATACTGCTCACAAACAGTTCATAACAAAGAATCTTAAAAGAGAACAAAAAAAAGAGAAACACCGGACTTTTTAAGGTTGYMCGAAMCCCCCGAACCATTCAATATAATTGTCAGTAAATGKTTTTTWAAWWMCYKGGRRRAAAAWKRAMMAAAARKTTWTTKTCGCTCAATGTCTTTATCACGTACTGGAGAACATAAAGYAAGGGGATTTAGTGGAGAAAAACTTGCCTAAGTTGYTGATTTATCTTACCTAGACCSCAATCGAATCTGAATTCTTCATAAAAAGTTTCGGATTTATAAATGGTGTTGAAGTTTGGACAGCTTGCCCCCTTCCCCTCCCCCCGAAATCCGATATGCCTCTCCAAAGGATTTTTTAAAATAATTCCTCAGTTTTACTTCTTTACGCGACTAAACCAGCCTTGCGGCGCTTATAGCTTCAATCTAATTCGTTGTRGTGTTCAAACCTTGGAATAAAACCGTTTTGGGGGCTACTCAAAGATCTRGTAAATATTTACTTTCTCATGAATAAAATACTAAATTTTATTTATTAATCCGTTTTGTGAACAAACTTGACTTGGTAACAGCGTCAGTAATTTCTCATTTRTAATTTGTTAAACATAAAATTCAAAAATATGATGAAAGAAAAAAAAGGCGAGATTYCCCATGTCTAGTCTGTCTACTGATGATACCGAAAAGAAAGACAACTTTCGTCAAWGCCCTTGTCATTTAAAATTTTAATTACTTTCGCCATATAAAAGTCGAATATTGCACTCAAGTGACTACTTACTAGTTCATTAGTAGTCAAAACATACTTTCAATAACAAATCTTACCAGAAGAATAAATGTAGACATGAACTCCGCTATCATCTCCCGTGCGATCTGCGGTAGACGTCTCCCCATCTTGATCTAAACAAAATWAAAATGTCAGAAACTGTTTAAACATAGTTCTTCACTTAGAACAAACACGAGCACGTCTGTCTGATCAGCTTATCAAAACAATGAGACATCTTTTTTTAAAAAAAGCGAGGCGTAGTCGATTTTCTACAAACTTTTTGAGGTGTTATGATACGCTGAACAAAACAAAACAAAACAAAAATCCCTGTACCTATAGCAACGCAAGCTGACAGCATTGTAGAAGTCTGAGTTCTAGAGTTTCCTGTTAGAAGTATAGACGCTTTCCGCCGAGATGCGCAGGCGATTTCAAAAATATCGCAGGCGCACATGACAAGGTATTTTCGAGCAAATATAAAGGGAGATTTAGCCTGATTTTCAGACGGGGCCTGGGTCCTACGCATCGGGGGCGGAGAGAAGCGTAGGACCCAGGCCCCGTCTGAAAATCAGGCTAAGTGAGATTTGGAATATCCAAACATAAGCGCGAGATAAAGAAAAGGGGGTATATTTTTGAATGCACACGAGCAACTAACTCGAAATTTATGTTTAGGTTATGCCAACAGTGGCAAATAAGAGGGTATTATCACAAGAAAAAATAATTGATTAATTATAATAATTTTAATAACACATATTTTTTCTGCTACACAAAAAATATTCTACAATTAGATGAMAAAGAGAATAGTCTTGCGATCGTGGTCTGTACTTTTATTCACTATGGCTCTTGACGAATCAGAAATCGAGACAATTTACAATTGTGGTGATTATCCAATTTCATATCGTGTGAGTAGGTAATCAACAAGCTTCTTAACTCACGAACAAAATAGCGTGTTTTTTTCATACTTGATTAAAAAAAGAATTGACTTGCCCTACTACAGATCCTGGCCCATACACTACTAGACAGTTCTTTATAAGCCATGACAATATGCTTTACATATTAGTCAAACATAGTATCCATRATAACGTGTTATGTTCACATGTGAAAGACATCACTTCTTCACGAGAGAGATTTCCTGGTATTCAATGAAGTTTTTTCGAATAATTTCTGGAATTCCATTTTTTTTAAGATAAAAARTAATTTAATAGCTTTTAAGTAACTTTCTGATCAACATTTTATCGCTTTGAGTTTCAGAAAAGAAATTACGAAGAAATTGAACAGGAAAAGTTGAAATAGATTACAACCTAACGAGGTGAAATTTGGTCTTTAAATAGTCAATATCAATAATTACGCATAGGTACTTATAAGCGTAATCTATAAATTCGTACAATCGTTCCGAAATCTTATTTATTCAGACCATCGTTGAATTTAATTTTTGGCATTAGTTGCCAAATCTTGACAAAGGAATGAAGGCCGAATGGACGACACCTCCTTTCGAAATAGCGAACATTTTTGGCTGCTGCAATCCACACATATGTCACATTTTATTAATTATTCTTCTGTCATCAAATATTTATTAGACCTTTTCAACTTACCAACCGCAGAAACTCGTCATTGCCAAATCTTGCGCTTTACACGCTTACTTCAAAATCATTTAAATTGAGTACCCTACTCTATCTCATAAAGCTTATTTACGGCGAAAAGTGCTGTTAAAGAAACCTATGAGAAATGGTAATGTCCAACCTTTGGTAGCTATGGCAACTTTTAGGATACATTTGTTTCAGGACCTTTCAGCGTGGGGGAATCCAGAAAGGTTTAGATATAGTAGATTGACAAAAAGTTGTCGTCGACCCGACTTCGTAGCACGCGACCCACCCGAAAAGGTTTCAGGGTAAAAATCAATGAGCTGGCAAATTAAGCATAACAACACCTTCTAGTACAGTGTCAATTTGTCGTCGACGTATGACATATTTTTTACCAAAAAACGGCTTTTATTCTCTTTTGTAAAAACTCGAAAAACTCTGGGTTGTATTCCCCGCGATGATGAAAAACAATGTGAAATGCAAAAATCAACATTACATGCATATACAATTCCCGTGATTTGGAAAATTTTGTCACGCATTTTGTGTCAATTCTCTGTGCCAGTTCGTTGATTTTTACCCAGAAACCAGTTCAGGCTAGTCGCGTTTGTGAAACCCGGTCGACGACAACCTTTTGTCAGTCGACTATACCTTAATGCTTGTCTTTCGGTAGGGAGTTCGATTCAAATTTTGCTAGATGGCACATTTAAGGGTCAACCTGTCGGTTTTAAGGCATTGCCTCTGAGCACAGGTGTGGTCTTCTGTCGCTGATATCCCGCTCCCAGAAAAGTTAAACAGGTTAAGGCACAAAAGTTTGTTAAACCTTGTTCTGGATAAAGTCACCCGCTGAGGTCGATCGCATGTCATGGCATATTGTTTAAAATTGCATATAGTTCGTGTATTAAAATGTTTTAAAGGAAGAGGGATAAAACATACACGGTTTATTGATGACTTCTATCTCTTGTCTTTGATTGGTTGACAGATTGAGTAGAATTCTCTCGATTGGCTGATTAAAAATAGATTAATTTCAGCCCAAGACAAGATACTTAAAAATAAAATTAACTGAGAAGCTCTCCAAAATCTTAGTAGCTATTATATTATACCCCTAGATATACATTTTTCYCTGTAATTCTTTTCCTATTTGAAGGATGTTCATATATCTTCGTTTTTCCAGTATTGGAGTTTAATACGTTTTACAGGGATTGTAAGTAAAGCACATCATTTTAGAAGTTATTATATTGAGGTTAAAACAAAAATATGGTTTGTTTAAAGGAMGCCATTTTGAATTTCAAACCGAATACGAGGACAACTTGCCAAGGGATATTATTACACYTGGTTTCCAGTGGATGCGAAAGTGAAGATAAAACTATAATCCGAATTCCTGTTGTTGAAAAAATTTGTTGTCTCCTGACCTACTTTAAAGTGTTAAAGTGGCTTCAATCAGYTAATAAAATATGTATACATTTACCCTGGTACCAAAGGGCCTCCTACGATTCTTCTATAGACCTCAGTGGCTCTGTTCTATCTYATCTATGCCTCTTAGATGGTTTGATTTGCCTTTKTGAGTGTTTTCGTTGCTGCATCGCTCGTTCGCTCGACGTATAAACATGACAGAGGCAGACTTTGAGTGCCGAGACACGTGAGTTCACTTACAAGAAAGAAACTTTATAGAAATCTCTGTCAGCGAGGTCAAGCCGCAGCAAAACAAAGTTGGCATAAACTAAAATCACCAGCAACGTTCCTACGGTTAAATTATGACAAGTACTTACAAGTTAATAAGTGCAAACGTTGTKTGTCCAAGCAAAAGTCTGGTCAAATTAGAGCAAGATCTGTACCTGTGGGAGTAGCTTCTTATCAAACAGAAGTTAGCAATTGATAGTTTAAATCACGTTATAAGTTGTTCTACTGAAGCCGATAACAGATATAGTGCATGTCAGTTTACGTAAACTTTCAATAGCTCATGTTTTAGATCCGTTATCGCATTATCGTCTTCTAAAAACAAACTGGGAACTTTATATATTGGATGATGGACTCTTGACATAAACATACCTCTCGACATGCCGAGAAAGAAAATCTCAATAGGGGAAAACGCGGTCAACATATATCGAAAAAAGCCGGCCAGATTCCATGCCATACGTTCTTTGTAAATTTTAAAATATTTCTAAGGCTGTAAAGTGTTCACAATTGAGCTCTATTAAAACAAGTGGATAGCAAACTTTACTGATAATTTTACATTTCTAAACAAGCAAACCAGAGGATTTTCCCCAATCGGGGCTTGAAATCTGCCAATTGTCAAAATTCCTATAGAGTGACACGAAAAAGGTCGGTTTCTCAGTTTTATTTGCATGTGGTAGTTTCCTTCGCAGACTGCCTTTTTTTATTTTCGGGCTTCCTGATACATATCTACATATATGTATGTAGATACAGCCTTTTGCAAAAATTATGAGAATTGTCTAAATATCTAAATATCATAATATCAATTGCATGATGGGTAATCCCACGCGATTCCCGTTTGTCCTTTGTCTGTGTAGTTTAGTTTTTTTCGGCGGTGACGGACTTATCCGTAGTTCTGAACATTTTCTCGATGTCAACAATGAATTATTCTAGCAAACCCGCGTGTTCTGGACAATATATGGATATGNGATAAAATCCACTGTCAAGCTTCGATAACAACAAATGCCTTGTCCTGGGATGACGTCAGAGTCAGTCCCAGTCTTTCCCGGTATTGAACCCAAAAAAGAGCTCAAAGTGGACATTTTCCTATGTTTGTAAGCTCACCAAAAATTCGCTTTTTTATAAAAATGAAAAATTCTTTCACAGATACGTTTCCATTAACCTCAATTTTCATTTTAAAGATTAAAAAAAATCGTGAAGGTGCACTTTAATCTCAATGCTTCATGAAGTACTCATAAAGTAAGCAGCAAACTCACATTTTTTAACACGCCATTCAGCACCATAATTCCCCGGGAGTCCGCTGAAGAACACATAAATGGAAGGGAGGGAGATGGGATTCTCAATTTTTTCTGGATTCTGGATGCCATTTGAAAATTTCTGTTTTCGGATCCGACTTAGGATTTAGATAAATCCGGATTCCATAGCTATATTTTTCTTGGAATTCGGATTCCAGATTAGTGTACAGGGATGCTCGACTTCACTTCACAAATCAGGACTTCATTGACCGAAAATACCCGCTTAGCAACTGACGCTACTCAAGGTCTCTTAAGGATTCAAACTCTTCCAAAGATTTTCAAGTAGTGGTGGTAGGTATTTCCAGGAATTCGGGAACTGTTTTCTCTAAGCTATCATAAGGCATACGTTTCTTTGATTTACTTTAATCATTTCGTAATTTTCAGTTCATTTTCTGTAATAGTTTGCTGAATAAAGCGTTCTGGCATTTTATTTTGGTATCTCATTTTTGCTTCGATTTTATATYACAGGGCCATGGTCCACAGTCATTCCATTCGACCTTTTGTTTTGTTTATGTTTGAATAAAAATATAAGTACTMTATGAATGGAGATACTGTAAGATTCGGCGTTAGAACGAACAAACTGGAAACGGATTACGTACGAATGGATATTTGTATTATTTTCCATATATAGAAATTCTAAAATACGAGCGCATAGAATGCTGGTGGACCATGGCCCTTTAATAGTACACTAATAGAAATACACATTTTCTAATTTGTGTCTGTTTGGCCTATCTTTGTTATCGATCGATTGATTTTGTTTTCATGTGGATTTAACTGCATTTACATTRCTCATAAGCTTACAGAGTGATCGGACTTAAACCGTGCAAAAAAAATGTAAGTAGTACTAATTTGTACTAAAAGTGGACCTGAAGCAAGACGATATTGAATGCTTCGATTTACTTCGATTTACTAAATGCAACTAAAAGCACTATTTAGTTTGTACACAGTTGCACGGTTTAAGTACGATCCCTCTATTACAGTTATTACAAATTTTATAGCTAGAGCTAGAGTTTTCTATTGTCTAATTTACAATATATTCCGCTATTCAGAACTATTTGGTTAGAGTWAAGTCAATATACCCGTGAAATAGATAATCACACTAATATACCTTGGGGCTCTARCTGCATTCTTTTCGTTTGTGTCWATTTGACTTTCACRCTTTAATTGTTAAATTTTGTTTCACGGGTTTAATGACGTCACTGTAGTATCAGTTTTAGCCCAACCACGGTTTTTGGGGGGATCGATTATTAATATTTTTAAAATTATGTCATTTATTTTAAATTCATGTTTATTTTTAGAGAAATTAAATTTCATTTGATTATGGTCTAACATGAGATAAAATACTTTAGCTCCAATCAAGAGCACGTCAAAAAGCTATTCAGTTTTTAAAACATCGTCCTAGGTTTATTGCATTTTGTAAGACTCATCTGAGTAGAAACAGAACACTCGCTGAAATGTTAAAGGTCTCCATGCTATTTGATTAAGAAAACATTAAACGACTAATTGAACAGAATTTGAATGATTTGTTATTTGTGAAATTTAAATGAATTTCTTGACCTTGTACTTTTCGATATGTTTACATTAGAGTCATAGACTGTTTTTATTAATGTAGTTTCATGTGTGGCACACCATTATAGTTAAGAACACAATCGTCTTAGTTTTGACTAGAAATTATGATGGAAACAGGATATCAGAGTTAAGTTTAGAATCATTAAAAAATTGACTTTACAGCACTCAAATCGTGCTACCTCCGAGTTGCAGGCCAAGAGCGAGTTTGTACTAGTTTTGTCTTAGAAAGTACTAAGCAAAGTGCTTGAGTTTGGAACTCTACTGCACAAACTCTTCCACTGCAGAAAGTCTTTCTGGTCAAGCTTCCTCAACCTCAGCTTGTGCTAATCTAACTAATCACATAATTTTTAATTAGCCTCTACTGACTACTTGAGAAATAATAGACGATTGGAAAATCAGATCATTCCTTATATTAGGGCGTGTCCTTTACACTTTGAGAGTCAAATTTTGTTTCACGGGTYTAATGACTTAACTCTTATGACTTCACTCTTATTAGATAAATTGTACTTAATTATGCGAATYCCTTTGYTTGCTATCKTCTAATCTACACTATATTGCATTATTTTGCACTATTTGGTTAGTACTTTTTTACGCTAATATTTGCACTAAAAGCACTAACCTAGGTGGTTCCTAATCATAAACCATTTCATTTCGTAACTTCAAAATGCAATAAACCTCTTTTTCAAACTTTTCAATTTTCCTCTCAATTGATTTGATTTATTGATATYTGTATTTACTCTGCAGTCGCTAGTGGTTCATAACCATTGCCACCATTACCACCATTGCCACCATTGCCACCTTTGCCACTGTCTTCTTCACTCGCATCGTGTTGCAGCTCGAAGCATAAAAGGTAAATCATTCCCCCAATCACCCCTCCCAAAGAACAGGCAATCACGGGTACCCAMGACCAACTGTGATGAACACTAAGATAGAAAAGTTGACAAATGTAAATCAAAATTGATAGGGAATGTGCAGCGACCCATTTGATTCAGCAATGCATGATGGGAGTTGTGGTCTTCACATTTTAAATAACCCATAAAAATCGTACTAAATGCTGTTTTTATGATTTCTTTTTAGAAACAGCACATATTTTGTTTTMGTTTTTTAAATAAAAAGCAAAAACTGCCTTGTGARAATGTTTTWSAGAATTTTAAAAATTRCAAGGACTGTAATATCCATCATGATCTTTTGCAMAAAATGCCGTCACATACGACCGTCWTATTGAATAATRAAGAAATCATGGGATGTCCACACAGTAAACGTGAACCTTTTTATACAAAGTGATATCGAGAAATTACTTTCTCATAACTATTGGTTCCAAATTTCTTAAGCAACAAGATCTACAATTGTAGTAACATCAAAGTGTTCCCCGGTGAGGATATGCAGGGCCCTAATCTTTATACTCACGTGAAGACCTCAGGACCCCATCCTGCTATCGCWGTAAAGATCCTAGGTCCCAGGTCCCTGGCTGGGTTGATAGCGTAGCCAGCATTAAATCCAAATGTGGCACCGATCACAAATACTGTAAGACCGATTAGCACAGGAGCCACGCCTTTATCCGGGGCATTGTTGTTTTTGTCGAGAATGGCGAAGATACAGCTGACCAGTAGCATCGTACCAAATACCTGAAAAACATATCAAAGAACTGTATATCRATCGTGCGGGATCCCTGTGCMTTTTAGTTTTTGGCTTCCTTGCCATATGTGGAAACAAACAAAAGTGACCGATTGCTTAGAAGTATWTTTGCTATAACATCTGCAAGTTTTAGACGATTTCAAGCTTAAAAAGCCGGACATATACACTTACRTAAACTAACTCTAAAGTTTACGTATAAAGTAAAAATAGACTGCTTTTTTACCTGGTCGCCAAARCCATTACCGATGGATAGGAATGGCTGAGGGTATGTAGCAAATATCCCCGCAGTGCCATTGGGGCCCAGGATCTTGCGAACACCTCCGTCAAACGTATTCAGGGCGTCTATAACATTATCAAGTGGAGTTGGTAACGTTTTTCATAGTAATTTATCTTTTTACATAACTGTTTCTTTAGAAACACCGACGCAGCTCACACTAGTTTACTGCTAGTTTCCACCATTCATACTATCTAAACCTAGATTTTACAGGTTTAGCGAAATACTTTCTTATTTTATTTCACAGGTCTACGCAAACCCTCCATATTCTATTCAAAATTTGTAATTTTTTCATAGGTTTAGGAGAAATCAGTATATTTTTGTTGAAAATTCAATATTTTCTTGACTAGCACGCGCTTATTTAATATAMAATTCACTAACCTKRGCGACRCGRAYKTGAAAAATGAATCGTKATAACAAAACAACTTACCAATATACACACCATAAACACACGCAGATGCAATGAAAGCACCGAAAAGCTGTGCTAGACAATACACAGGCACCATAGACCAAGATAGTTTCCTGGCAACAGCACACGCTAAAGTAACTGCTGGATTCATGTGAGCCCCTGAATAGCAAACAAGCAAAGATCTAATTAATGTTAGTTTGGTTGATTGGTCGGTTGGTTCATTTGTCTTTGGATTGTTAGCTGTCTAGTACTAGTCTGGCTGGCTCTGGCTTTTATTGGTCGGCTGTTTTGATGGTTTGCAAGTTACTTGCCAGTTTATTGCTTGGTTAGTTGGTGGGTTGCTTGTCGGGTTGGGTTGGTTGTTTGTTGGTTGGCTTGTTATTTGACTGGTTGGCTGTTTGGTTGTATTGTTGGTGGGTGAGTGGGTTGGGTGGTTGGGTTTGTTGGGTTCGTTCGTTCGTTAGTTGGTGGGTTGCTTGTCTGTTGGGTTGGTTGTTGGTTGGTGTACTGGTGGGTTTGTGACACTTGATCGATGAGAATGGACAAAACACACTGAGGTAGAATACTTAGCAATGGAAATTTGAGAGAGATTGTAGAAGACAAAATCTGAATCAAATCATCTGTAAGGCTTACCAGATATACCACCAGCCCAATAGCAACCAAGTGTAACTCCGATACCCCAACCGAAGTTAACAGAAAAGAACGTTCCTTTAGTTTCCTTACTTAACACCATCTGAGCAATGGACCCGCAACCGAAGGTCTGGAAATTAAATATACTATAATAATTCATAATGATTACAAATCATTTCATGATCAGTCAAGCTCTGTGTGATATATCCTCTTTTCGCAAGTGTTTCATTAGAAACTAATTATCAAATAATTAATAATAATAATTAATAATCAATTAATTAATTAATAATTGATTAATTTTTTATCTTTGTTCAGCGTTTTTGGACTTTTAGGAAAGTACGCTATATAAATAAACTACTCCTGTGCACTTCACTCTAGTTTGATGCTAACCATTGCGGGCCCTGTCCACAGGAGTCCAGGGATTGTATATCCTCAAATGTTTGTATGCTGGGGCTTAGTGTTCCCCAGTGTCTTGTTAGACTTGTATAAAAAGGCCACTTTTTTCTTAAAGAATCCCAACCAACCACAATACAGCGCGCGTTCATGTTATTGTTTGCATACGTTTAAATGCGTCAAGCATACAATTGATTACAGATTGATAGTACCTGTGAGGTACTTCATTAAAGGTATTTCTGTCTAAAACTATGGAAGACGAATCGCAATCACTTAAGAAATTCACCTAAAACGGCGCTTCGGGTCGCAAGGTACAGCGGTTGGCTGTGTAAGCCTAGTTTCTATTTATCCCTTCCTTATAATCGCACCAAGATACMTTTTTGCATTGTGGTTATTTCCTTTGGGGAAGCCAAAATAATGMAAAAATGCGTATTCGAATGATTTGGACAATCTGAACTATTATACGGACTCCTGGGCTTAGRAAACAATAAAGCAAAAACCTGGTTTGGTAGATTGGACGATTATATAGCCAATAGGCTCAATAACTAAGATTATAAGTCAAGGAATAAACAATTAATTGTTGCGTCTGACTGTAAAGGTTAATTTAATGACGTGCTGGGGCATTTTAATGTGATATTCGCTGGCTGTTTGTTGTGGTGGTTTCCCGGTTTCTTTTCTGCTGAAATAGCTATATGTTCTTTATCTATACACCTAATAGTTAACTTCAGATATTTTGGTTCGATGACTATGTACAAAAGAACGCACATGAGGCTCCGGGAAAACAATGGATAATCTTGATTTATTCTTTTATTTCCCCGGAGCCTCGTCTGCAATTCTTTTGTSCATGGTCACTGAACCAAAATATCTAAAGTCGGCTATTGCGAAAACGTTGCTATAGAGAAATAAACGTATTTCAAAAAAGGTTGTACGATAAAATGGCGAATGTCAATTGTCGAACGGGTTCAGCCTAATGATCTT